GGACAGAAGCATACATAGATCATGTACAATTAAAGATAGGATTTCTAAGGCCCATCCATGTTGTTGCATTAAATGGCTTGCATATAAAACTGCTAAAATCTGAATCAAGTCACTGGATTTATCATTGTTTATTTCCTGGTTGTGATGTTGTACTATACTAATGCAAAATGTTGCCACTGGGGAACATCAGGTAATTATTTCTTACAATTGCATATAAATCGATAATTGTCTCCAAATAAAAAGCTGTAAAAAGATAGGCTCTCTACGAACTTCATTTTTCCATTCAACTGTTTGATAGGCATTTTGAATATCTTTATGTCTTAGGGCCCCTTATGGCAGATGTGAAGCTGACTCAAATAGGAGTATCAGTCTAGTGGGAATAAAGAGACACAACTGACTAAAATATAACAGGTTTTGTACTTTAATGGATATGTGCTTAAGATGCTATGGTGGACACAGAAGAAGCCTACAGCTGAGAGTGGTTAAAAAAAGTCTTTAGAGCATTTGATACTTTGGCAGAATTGGAAAGTTGTGTAAAAGTTTTCTAGGCGGGCTAGGTGAGGATTGGCTTTCTAGGCAGAGGGAATGGCATGTGATATACAAAGGCCTATAGGACTGACATGCTTTCTTGTAGCTGGGAAATAGCAAGATGTTGACTATGGAGGAGAGGAGTGGAAGGCTGAAGAGGCATGGTCTAGACTTCTAAGATTCTGTGTCTTATGGTAAAGATGCTGTATTTATGAAGAAGATTCAGATACACTGGTGGGCATGGAGCCAGGGGCTGACAGAATGAGACTGGTATTTAGGAAGAGCCTTCCACATAGCAAGTGGGAGATTGTTTGGAAGGGAGACAAGACTAGAGGCAGGGAGACTAGTTAAAGAGGATATTGTAGTAGTCTTTGAGAGAGATGATTTAGGCCTGAACCGAGGCAGTGTATGTGTGTACATATGGATTCAAAAGTGTATATGTGTGCGTATGAATTCAAAAGTGTAGGTGTGTGCGTATGGATTCAAAGCTATTTAAGAAGTAAATTGAAAGGGCTGAGTGAGACACTAGATTTGTTTCATGAGGGACAGGGTAAGAGTCCCATATAACTCCTAGGATTCAGGCTGGGGCCTTTTAATGAGAAGAGGAGCTAAAGGGGAAATTGGTTAGGGTGATATGCAGAGAAGGAATTTAGTTGTGGACATTTTGTGTCTTGGGGGCCTGTGGAACAGGCAAGTGGGCAGAGGTGCTCAGTAGGCATCTGGAGATGAGGGCCTGGACTGGAGAGTTAGTGTCTTACCACTCTGACCCTTTTTTTTCTCTCAAGTTCTGTATCCTAAGAATGATGATGCCTTCTTTTTAAAATGTTGATTTATTTTTTTATTTGTTGTTCTTAGGTATTTTGACATATTATACATATATGGAAGGCAACCCATTCCAATTTTGATCCATTCTTATGGTTGTACATGATGTAGAGTTATACTGGTCATGTATTCAATATACCTTCTTTTTAAAAACATTTTTTTTGGTACATGGACAGCATGCCTTTATTTTCTTTGTTTATTTTTATGTGGTGCAGAGGATTGAACCCAGTGCCTCATGTGCTCTTTCACTGAGGTACAGCCCCAGCCCTCATGATGCCTTCTTAATTGCTTCTCTCAACAGCAGATGAAGGCCAGGTACTCCCAGTATGAAATACTGAACTCCAGTCACCAACAATATTGTCATATGTTTGTCAGCAAGGATAATGAGTTCCCCTTAAATTGTATGCCTAGGGAAAAAAGGGCTTTCTCTACTTTTAAAGCCGAAGAACAACAATGGCATCTCTGGAGAATCATAAGGAAAAAGATGACAATAAGCAGGTACCAAAGTTTTCACCAGATATATAAATAAACTTATTTTCCCCTTCTCTAAAAGCTGAGTCTTTCTGATTCTCTGACTGAATAATAAGTATTTTAATAGGTATTACAATGCCTGAGTTGAAGCATTTAAAAGAAAACAAATTGGAATAAGGCCTCAATGGAGGAGAAAAACATCAACAGATAGAGGGAAAGTTGAGGTAATGCTACTGCTGATTTGGTCCCAGCAGGATAATGCTTCTTCCTATCTGACACCCCAAGATATAATTTTGTGTATGACAGTGTCCATTCTTGTCAATTTTCCCTGCTGGGCAAGTGATGGAAACAAAATGTCAGTTGGCAACAGGGGTGTTAATAATCACTACAAACTTGCGAGCAGACATTTTATAAACTTCCTTGGCAGAGTTCACATGAAAGGGTAATTGGCCAGGACCCAGTCCTCCCATTGAATACTTTGATGGGAACAAATGCACAAACCAATACAAAGTTGCTCTTTATATTAAAAGTAGGTTGAAGTGAGTTCTGTCTCTAGAGTACCACAAGAAAGGAAGCAGTTCCTAGTCAGGAAGCACTAGTAAAGGGATCAGTTGCCATTATACACTCCTGGTTGGCTTAATAAAATTGGATTATTTCTTGGCCTCCTTTTCTTTTCACATAAGTCTGGTTGTCACATCCAAGATTTTTCCAGAGTTCTGGCAAGAGAGATAGGAGTATTGCCTATGGGAAGGGAATGAGTGTGGTGATGGGTAATGGAGTGAGCCCACATTTTTCAAATTCATTTCTCTGAAGCATCATCTTGGAGAGATCATTTAAAAATTAATAAGGGGGAGAAGAGTGCTTTCTTTTTGTAGTCAATATATCTGAGAAGATTTCTCCCTACATGGTAAATTCATGGTGGAAGGACTCTGAGAAGTCCTGCAGTAACAAAACCTTTTAAACTTTGTCCCAGAATTTCCAAAACTCATTTCATCTCAAACTCCATGTCTATCAACATGCCACTGACCTGTCCTTTTCTTTTTTATTTTTACAACCAATTTTAGGAAATGCTGCTAGAGGCAAACAGGGATAGGGTAGATAAGATTGTTTTGTTTTGTTTTACTCTGAATTAGTACAACTTTTGGTCAAGTAGAAATCCTTCACTCCAAGCCTTTGTTACTGAACACATTTATAGAATGTCTGAATTCAATGAACTGACTTTACAGAGTTAAAGGAAAAGAATTAATGGAATACTATTTAGCCATAAAAACATGGAATTCTATCATTTGAGGTAATGTGAATGAACTCAAAGAACATTATGTTGAGTGAAATAAACCAGAAGGACAAATACTACGAGGTCTCATCCATATATGATAGGAATATAAAAAATGTCAATCTCATAGAAGTAGAGAGTAGAATGCTGGCTACTACAGCCTGGGGAGGATATATTGGAAGAGGAATGGGTGAGGAAAAGTTGATGAAGGAATACAAAGTTACAGTTAGATAGGAGTGAGAAGTTCTGGTATGTTATTGAGCAGTAGGGCAACTACAAATATAGATGGTGTGCTGTACTTTTTCAAGATAGCTAGAAGAGAAGACTTTTTAAAATATTTTTTTAGTTTTCAATGGACCTTTATTTTATTTATTTTTATGTGGTGCTGAGAATCGAATCTAGTGCCTCACACAAGGGCTCTTCCACTGAGCTAAAACCGTAACCCCATAGAAGAGAAGATTTTAAAATATTGCAACACAATGAAATGCTCAAGGTATGAGGTGATGGATATGCTAAATACCTGATTTGATTATTAATGCATTCATGTAAGGAATCACACTATGCCCCATAAGCATGTACAATGATTACATGTCATTTAAAACAAAACACATTAGGAAAAAATTGTATTTTAGTTTAATAACTAAGAATCTTGCATGACCTTGGGGTCATTATTATGAATACCAGTGATGATCCAACACTCCTCAAAAGGGGCGGAGACAGACAAGGTGGGGGACACCAATCCAGGGTCAGCCCAGGGCAGCACCTAGCCTAACAAATTGTCTAACTTGTGCTTATTTTCCCTCATATCTATTTCCCCTAATGCCAACTTTTCAGAAATTAAAAGCCATTCTAAAGTTTTGAAGGTGCCCACAAAGTAGATCTTGAGAGTAGGACCAAAAGGCACAAGAGTTCCATGTGTCCAGAGGTAGCAAACTCCTGGACAATGAGTCATGAGCTGTCTCTTGGATCCCAAGTGAGAATGGAAGATATTTCCAATCAGTGCTTGGTGCCCCTTCATCCACCTAAATCCTTAAATTAAGCTAGTTGGTAAGCTAACTCTAATTTTGCCACAACCCGTTCTCTTTCTAGCTTACTTCTGTGAAAGGGGGTACATTAAGATGTACATATATGATGACACCACAGAGAATTTAACATCTGTAAGAATGGAGTCTTAATTAGAATAAGACATACTCCATGCTCGTATAATTATATCCAAATGGATTCTACTGTCATGTATAACTAAAAAGAACCAATAAAAGAAAAGATACACTTACATCCTTTCTTGCTTCGGGCATGATTCAGAATAGTTAAATTAGCTTTGGTGGTTACTTGCTAAGAAGAATAGCCTTTCTGTTTCATTTCCTTGGTGGAGGTTTTTTTTTTGCTCCTAGGGATGGAATCCAGGGTCACTTAACCACTGAGCTATATCCCCAGCCCTTTTTTGTGTTTTATTAAGAGAAAGGGTCTCTCTGAGTTGCTTAGGGTCTCACTAACTTGCTGAGGTTGGTTTTGAACTGTGATCCTCCTGCCTCAGCCTCCTGAGCCACTGGGATTACAGGCAAGTACCACTGTGCCTGCAAGGCCACTTTTTTGAGTGAGGTATTATGTATTCCACCCCCATCAAATCTTTAAAAATACAGAATGCTACTAACATAGTTCAGAACTAACTCTGAAGTCTAGTTCCTGGCAGCCCATATATGTGTTTTTCTTTATTCCTTCCCCTAACTCCACTCTCCCTGTCGCCTGTACAGAGAGGCGGATTTCCCTCCACCTCAGACCATTTGGATGAATCCACAGTAAGCTTTGTTCGCACTATTAAGAGGCAGTGATGAAACTGTTGACTGAAAATAAGACAATAAAGGAGAAGGCAGAAAAAAAGGCAAAAGAGGAGAGAGGGGAGTCTTACGTGGAGAAGGCGTTGTTCTGCTTTTCACATCGGATCCCCTTGCAGTTGTTAGGCTCATCAATAGCTCTGGTCTCATAATAAAAGTAAAGCTGATTCAGTCCATTGGCAAAAGCCAGCAATACCAGGCAGTAGATAAAGAGGAATTTGAGGATATCAAGCAGCATGCGTCCCAAAGAGATCTGCAGAGGCCCTAAGTGGGAGTTGGCTGTGAACAGGGATATGAGACGCAAGGAACTTAAAATGTTGGATATTGCGAAGAGCGCCTCTGCAATTAGAGTCGGGTGCCACATTTCCCATTCCTCCCTCGGACGTGAACCATTATACTAAAAAAAAAAAAAAGTGCAGAAGGTGAGGAATACAATGAGCATTTATAAAACTTTCCCCTTTCCACTCTTTCACACCCAAATAAAGCCACCAAAATATGCATTAAACATCATTTATCCAATAATCCCCATGCATGGAACTATTTGTCTTTTGGCTCCATTCAATTAGTACACGACACCGTCTTCCTCTCTTTCCCATCTAAATATACACCCAGCATATACACAAAGCTGAATGAATTTCAAAGCAATCCTCTGGAGCAACCACCTGTGGTTTATCAACAGACATTTTCTAACTGAGATTAACAGATTGTTGCAGAGTATCACTGAAACTGAGCCACAGGTATGCTCAGGGCAGTAAAGATAAATCACCTTGCTTCCTAATGAAATTTTGAATCAGACCTAATTCCTTAATCCCCCACTGGGTTCTGAGCACCACGGACAACTTGCAGTTATTAAAGGACAGGAGGTACATGGAACCTTCTCAGCATACAGTGTTTAGCCTCACTTCCCCACTGACTGCAGTTCGGGGCTGATGGACCATTCTTAAGGAGTCTTCATCAGAGCTTTCTGCTGAATTTTGAGCAGTTTTTGATATATTCCACACTATTGCAAATGGCATGCCATCCTATCAGGTAGCAAATCCAGTACTTCTCTGCACAGTGGCATATGAACATATTTTGCTGTTCCTTTGACAACCCTACGAGCTAGAACATCCCTCTAGCACAAATGAAGAACCAGGGGATTAAAGGGAAGGAATAACCAGTATCTGTAGGATTGGTTGCCCATTTTCAGCCTTATTCCATGCTTCCAGCTTCTAGAATACGAGGAGTAGTCTTGAAGAAAATCAACTTCATTATGAGATCTGAGCCTCAATTTGGGCATTGTCACCTAAAACTGCCTCTATCTTTCACCTTTGCCATAAAAAAGGATAATGCCTACTCCCAGCCTGTGTACATGTTTGTGATTCTATATCTACATGCAAAAATATATGTACTCCAGAGGGGAGATGTTATGGAAATACAAGGAACTAGTTATTACCTTCCTCAGGATAGAAGTAGATTTTGCCTGGGATTCCATTTGAAGTGTGTTGCCTTGAGCTCTCATCTAAATATCACAATTTCTCAGGACTACATGTAAACAGCTTTCCTGAGAAAATGTATTGGGGGCCAAATTATATTGTTAGCATTTCTAAAATGTGTTTCAGTTACAACAACTGAGGAAACTGGTGTTTTTAAAATCATTTGTGTATATCCAATATTCTTCACTGTCAAAAGAACTGAAGAAACCAAAGCATATTTTTGCTTCTATTTCAGATAAACTTTTAGGCAACCAATCAGTTTTATGTACTCTTGGCCAAATCTTGTATTTCTATATATTTCCTTCCAAAAAAACACTCACTGCATTGCTATGAGGGGTAGGCATTATTATGCCTGTTTTACAAATGCAAGAATTGAAATCCAGAGAGGCAGAGTCATTTGCTAAAGATTTCACAGCAAAGTTGGTGGCAGAGCCAGCACTAAATCCCAGGTCTCCAGATACTCAGTCTAGCACTATTTCTATTAAATGTACTTACATGATAGTTAATTTCATGGCACAGATGTTAGATAGGCCTTTAAAGGTTTTGAGGTATATATGAGAGATGAAGACTCTTTGCTGACAATAAAACAGACCTATGTTTTAAAACTAGAAATAATGAACTAGAAGATGTATAGCTTATAATTTGAGGTATTTTTTTCTCTCTCTATGCCCAGAACTGTAACCACAGGGAAATCTGCTGCCCATGGGGTGGTGAATCTGGATTTGCAGAACACTCAAAAGTATGAAAAAGGATATCTTGGCAAATCTGTACTTTGCATATATACCTTTTGAGAAAGATACCTTACCATGTGAGTCCAGGGAATAAACCCAGAATTCATCTAACACAGAGGGCAGCAACCTTTTTCTGTCAAGGGCCAGATACTACAAATGTTTGGCTTTATGGGCTTTATAGTCCCTGTCACAACTACCTAATACTTATAGTGCTAAAGTGACCATAGACAGTATATAAACAAATGGACATAACAGATGGCCACATTTAGCCCACACACCATAGTTTGCTGCCTCATGATCTTACAGTAGTTTTCAAACTGTATTCTTTAGAGCCTCAGGGTTCTCCATAGTTCACCACAGAACTTCAGGGTTCATGATCTTCATGGGAGCTACAAAAGATTCATTTCTCAAGCCAAACTTAGTTTTGTGTAAATTTTTGCTTGAAGACATGATTCCATAGAAAAATTATCAGGTTGAAAACCATTGGTCTAATACTATTTGTGTGTGTGTGTGTGTGTTTTTTTTTTCTTTTGGAAGGGGTACCAGGGATTGATCCTAGGAGTGCTTAACCACTGAGCCACATCCCCAGCCCTTTTTTATATATTTTATTTAGAGACAGCATCTCACTGAATTGCTTAGGCCTCACTAAGTTGCTGGCTTTGAACTCTTGATCCTCCTGCTTCAGCCTCTCAAGCCGCGGGATTATAGGCATGCACCACCATGCCTGAATCTATTTGATTTTATATATGAGGCAGATTCTGAGGCTCAGAGAGGTAGAGGGATTGCCTATGATAATCTAGCTCTAGCTCATTGGTATGAGACTGGCATTTACCAGTTTAGTAGATTGGATTTACTCTTTTTTTTTTGGTGGTGCTGGGATTGAACCCAGGGCCTTGTGCATGTGAGGGAAGCACTCTACCAATTGAGCTACATCCCAAGCCCCTGGATTTACTGTTATACTTTGTGGTAGGGAAGCATCTAGCTCTTTGGAAACCTCACTCGTGAAGGTGGATAAGTTATGTGATTAGTTAATATTGAGCATCTATAGACACATTTTCAGATCCCCAATGTTAATCTTTTTCTTCATTATTTATTCTAAACTTTTTGTTTAAACAAAACCTAGCAATTGCTAGATTGATAATTTATGGTTTCTCATGTGTATAAATACTACTTCTAAAGGAAGAATTTTTTTTTTTTTTTTTTTAGGGAAACTGTTACTTAGTCAGCAGAGTGCCAGAATGACATGGAGTTCACCCAGGCACATTAACCAGAGATTCATTTTCCTCACCAGCCTTTTCTTTTAAGGAAGTTGTAAGTATGTGTTAAATGATCACCACATGTATAAGGCATACTCTTGGGCTCCTTTCAAAAATATTTCACGGCTGCATTCAATATTCATGCTCTGCATAGCTTCCAAGTTCTTAAAATTTATGCAATATGCATATTAGGGATACAAAAATAAACTAAGCTGTTGCAGATTTGGGGGACAGCCATATTCTCATTCTAAAACTTCTTAATGTGAAATTTAGTGCCAAAAGCATGACTGACTACACAAACTTAGAGACTAAATTGTCAGCATCTCCTCCTGGTGGAAAAGTTCAACTAAATGTGGAAGGATCATAGTCATCCCATTATTTAGTAAACATCAAACTTGAACTCAGAGCCTGTGATTTCCCAAAGTGAGGCATAAGATATGAATTTATTTCCAGGATAATTCAAGCTGCACCTTGGGTAGGGAAAGCAACATGGTGGTGGTGGTTTGTATACATTATCTGAATTGGCAAAGAGGCACAGTTTGGGTGTTATTCAAAAAGCTGGATTCATAACTGCTTGAATGATTATCCTGGTGGTGGAAGTGATGAGGGAGGCAGAGACTATTAAAGGTCTATGTCTCTTGTGATGATGTTTCTGGAATATTGATACTTGTCATGTGAAGAACAGTTGAGGGAAGTGGGAATGTTTAGGTTTAGCAAGCAATGACTCACTGGGTAAGGGAGAGATGACTTCATACCGGAAGTACTATTATAGAGAAGCAACAGCTTTTTTCTATATGACCCCATAGGGAAGGATTACCCATGGATGTGGCATGGGAGAATAGTATTAGACAAATATAACTCTTTTTATTGAAGTGACAAGGGTTAAGAGAGGCTTTTGGAAACAGTGAATTCAGTAAATTTCCCTGCACTATGCAAGCATCAGTGGGCCATTCTCTTAGCAAGAACATTGTGGAGAAGATTTCAGCATTCAGAACTAAAGTCCCCTTTACCTTGAGAGTCTAAAAAGCTAATGATTCATTTGATTCATTCTCCACTTTCTTTGCTTAAGCAGACACTGTTTATAAACTATGGAAAGAATGTTTGTTTATATGGGACTTTCCCACAATGGATTGGAGTGGCATCATTATTTTCCCCATAAACACTTCATGCTCCCAGAATAAAAGCTTATTGATGTAACCAAAATCATTGTTTAAGAACAATGACAGACATTCAATTTTACCTTGACATAGGCCACAATCTTCAAAGAAATAGTTGCCAAGTAGAGGGAGTTCATTGCAAAATCCATCAGGTTCCACCAATCATGGATGTATTCAGTAAATCCACCATCCCACATTTCCTTAATCTCCCCCCAAATGAAACCTAAAGAATAGAGGCAAAAAGTTTATTTCCACATCAGGGAAGTCCTGGTCATCATAGCAGGACCACCCCCAAATGAATAAGGATGAAATCAATGAACAAATTGGGGTAAGTGGAGCAGTAGTCACTTACCTCTTTGTTTCCTACTCTACCTCCCAGTCATGGACTTGTTAAACATGGTGGCAGTCTCCTGAGATGCCCATAAATCATACTTTTCTGGGCACTACCCTGACTCACTTTTAGCATTCTTACTATAGTTACTGGAATGCTGTCATTTTCTTTATTTCTTTCTTTTGCTGTTGCAATTTTGGGCTCCAAATTCTATCTTCTTCCCATATTGGAGTGGGAGCAATCTTATTAATAAATTGATTAAATCAATATTACTTCATAGTCCCTGATTTCCACTAGGCACTGAAGAGAAAACTTCTTCATGAGTTTTGAGGTGAGCAAGCTGATCATGAACCAAATTACCAGATGCTGAGGCTGAAACTAGGCACTGGGGCCTCAAATAATTTAGCATCATCCTCTTTTCTCCTTTCTCCTCTCACTGTACAGGGGTTTTGTGGAGTTTTGCCTGCTGACACAGATGTTTCATCAGCCTTGGAATATAGAAAAAAGTAAAAGGTGCAGCTGTAGTCTAAGGCAGTACTTTTTAGACTTTAAAGTGCATGTAAATTACCTGGGAATCATGTTAACATGCAGATCTTTTGATGTCTAACAAGCTCCCAGGTGATCCCCATATTACTGGTTTGGGAGACCAGTTTTATGGACAGGGGCTTAGAAGATGGCCTTGTGCTGGAGAGTCCAGTGTCATTTAATTATACCTGGAGACTACTGACAGAGCTGCTTTTATCATGATGTGTGTGTATTTCCAGGTTTTTCTCCTGACTGTGGAAGTAGTATCTCAATAGAATGCAGATCCTGAATAAGTTCTAGGATTATATGGAGTGGCCGTGAGAAAGCATTAGAATCCATGTACCTCCTGGTAATGGGAAGAGAGCTTTGAATATACTGATCAATACTTGTGAAAGGATAAAAGAAATTGAAATTAAAATGTAAAGGACCAGGTTTTGTAAAGTTTCCAAGCTGCACTCAGAACTTGAAATTCCTGTGGCAGTTAAGATAATTCCCGGAACTGCCCATTATATGTGTGTCGAAATCCCCCCCTTGACCACCTAGTTGCTTAATGACCCAGACCCGTGCAGCTCAGCACGTACGCACCCCGGGGCCTAAACCAATCAATTTGAATGTATACCCCGCCTTAGGACTGACCTGTCACCCCTGCCCGACCTGTTCCCGCCAATGAATGTACTAATCATGTTTGAGAGTTGTTGTTTGATTTTCCCGCGGTGTACGATGATTTGTTAAAGGGAACTATGACGTGTGTAAAGTCCCTGCCCTCTCTAAAAAATGTATATAAACCCTGCACAAGTTGTTCTTGGGGCTCTTGGCCGCTCTCCCTTCTTGAGTGAGCATGGAGCCCCAGCACGCTGGATCTTCAATAAACCCCCTTTTGCTGTTGCATGAGATGGTCTCTTGGTGGTCTCTTCCTCCGTCGTTCGCAGGTCCCTTACACTTGCCCTGCTTAGCTTTCCTGACCGATACTTGGCTTTCCCCTCTAAACCAACTGACAGCCACTTCTCTGTCCTTGAAGACATTAGGTTAGCAGAGGCAACCCCTGGGCACACTGATAATCTTGTGGTGGACCATACAGTATTGAGTGACCAGGGCCTGGTACAGAAGCAATCACGTTTCTCAGACTTCCAACAATGCAGAGGGAAGGTACCCTAGTTCAGAGCTAGTTTGACTACCTGTTCGAGTATATTTTTTAGATAGGATCAGAAGACAGTCTAGCCATTGCTCATCTGTTCACTTTAACTCACCTAGAACCCAAGGCAATATCATCCATTCCACAACAGTTGGAGGAGGCCCCTGTACATGGAGGTCTGTCCGAACAATGTGCTGAGAAGCCAGGAGAAGCATGAAGAGGAAGGTCAAATAGGATGCTGTGTGGCAGATGAACTTGATAAAGGGTTTCTTGATGAACAACCCAAGGTTGCTCCTAGGTGAGATCAGATAGGCTATAGACAGCATGGGAAACAGGAACCCAATGGTCATGCAGGTCAGGAGCTTGACTACCCAGTGTTTCCGCCGCCATCCAGGGAAACCATCATACCACAGGGTGGCAAGCAACTGTTGGCAGTTGGGCTGAGCAACAAACTGGGAAAAGAGGAAAACAAGTTAGGCATTTGGGACATCCAGGAGAAAGTCTACATTCATAGTACCTCTCTGATTTAGAGTCATCTCCCACCAGTGCTCCCAGAGAGGTTTGTTCTCCAGGTTCTAACCCCAGAGATAGTTCTACAGATCAAGATATGAGGCTAGATTTTTCCTTAGAATTAATTATATTTTTCACATATTAAAACAAAATCACTAGCCAGGTGCAGTGGTGCACAACTGTAATCCCAGCCATTCAAGAGGCGAAGGCAAGAGGATCCAAGTTCAAAGTCAGACTCAGCAACTTATCAAGAGCCCCATTTCAAAAAAAAAAAAAAAAAAGACTGTTTTGTTTGTGCTTTTGAATGCTTCCTTCCCATTATGTCAGAGCCATAGTTCCCCAAAACTGGCTCTGCATCAGAATCATCCAGGGAGCATTAAAAATCCAGATTGCCAGGTCGTATCACAGAATGACTAAATGTGACTCCCTGGGGTGGTGTGGGATAGAGCCTGGGCAGCAGTTTTACAAATTCTCCTGAGGATCTTCATACCTTTTAGCAGACAATCACGAGGATATTTTATTTCAAATTGATTCATCTCTACTCATCCTCCTCGCCTACATGAGGTCTCATCAAATGTGCATTCCTTTGGGGCAAACACAAACTGGCAGAGAATAAGCCCATGCCTGTAGCTATGTTTTGAAATGAAAATGAGTTCCCTTTTTGATTTTGTCTTTTTTCCCCATTTTGTTTGGGCATCTCTTGCCTGGCTGTGATGAATCAGATTGCTACTTTGCCATCTATTTTATCACCCTTTCTAGTGTAGACATGCATCAGAGGAAAAAAATATTTGGGGTCCAACGTTACAATATTGTATACTAACCCAGTTCTCATTTTACTTAAAGGCAATCTATAAAGTGTTAGTGATTAATAATTAAGGAGTCATCAGCACTGCAAGTCACCCTCTGGCTGCTACTTTCTGATATGTGACTCAATAGGCAGCTCAACTATCAACCATGATTTTATACTGCCTGTATTTGATTATTCCAGCTTTTCATGGAATAGGTTAAACACCTAACTTACTTACTGCAGTAAGATGTGGCCACATAACTAAATTCTTGCTGATGGAGTCTGAACAGAAATGATGTATGATCCTTCTAGATTTGGCCCATAGAAGTCTCCTATGTGTGCTCCTCCATGTTTCCCTCCCTTTTGGCTGACTGGGATGTAGTAATCCAGGGTGATTTAAGGGCTTTTGTTAGCCGAATTACCTGAATTACCATGTGGAAGAGAACTAATCTGCTAAGCAAGAATGTCTGTCTTGTCCATTACACATCTAAGAAGATTCTATTGTGTTTGAGCCATTATATATGTTTGGGGTCTAAAGCCATTGACTATTATGAAACTACCAAAAATAAGCTCTAAAATGGTGGTTCCATTCCAAGTTTTCTGAGGAATCTCCATATTGCTTTTCATAGTGGTTGCACCAATTTGAAGTCTCATTTGCAATGTATGAGTATACCTTTTCCCCCACATCCTCGTCAACATTTATTGTTGCTTGTATTCTTGATAATTGCCATTCTGATTGGAGTTTATGGCATTTACTGGTAAATAGATGGAGTGGAGAATATCATGCGAAGCGAAAAAAGCCAATCCCAAAGAACCAAAGGCTTAATGTTTTCTCTGATACACGGATGCTAATTTAAAATGGGAGGGATTGGGGAAGAATAGAGGTACTTTGGATTAGATAGAGAAGAGTGAATGGAGGGGAGGGTGTGTGGGGGTAGGAAGGATAATAAAATGAATCAGACATTATTACCCTATGTGCATATATGATTATACGACCAGTGTAATTCTACATCATGTACAACCCAAAGAATGAGAGGTTATATTCCATTTATGTATGATGTATCAAAACGCATTCTACTATCATGTATAACTAATTATAACAAATAAAAAAAGAAAAATAAAGTTCTAAAATGTTTTCATCCTTTGATCTCATTTTCTCCAAGTATGTTTGTGATCTGCATTATGTATTCCCATCCCCATTTCACACAGTCACACATAAAAAGACAAAATCCTGAAGCCCCTTTCTATTCTTCTTACCATTATAGACTATGCCCTAGGTTGGAATGGAGAACTTCAAGAAAATAAATAAAAGTTGAAGGATCAAGCCAGATCCTGAACACAATGGAAAAACCACTGGGAGCTTTTGGTCTAGTGAGGGAGACAGATGTATATTTCTTTAATACTCCACCCAGGTATCACTTCATCCAGGATGCCTCCTTTGTGTTACCATTATGTTTTGTTCATATATCTTTCCATCTTGGGGTGGCTGCAGCTTGAACTGCAAGGCTGTGATTGGCAGGAGATGAAGCTGGAGAGGTAGGCAGGGGTTACACAGATCAAAACGATCTAGTCTTGGGTCACTATAAATAGAATAAACTCATTTTAAGAGCAATGAGGAGCCATAAGCAGTGTGTGTGTGTGTGTGTGTGTGTATGTGTGTGTGTGTGTGTGTGTGTGTGTGTGTAGAGAAATATGATAGGGTGGTTAAGACACAGATTCTAGGGCTGGAGTGTAGCTCAGTGGAAGAGTGCTTTACTCACATGTGTGAGGCCCTGGGTTCAATTCCTAGCAGAATACACAGAAACAAAGACTTTAGATTCTGTAGATTTTATGGGTTCAATTCCTGACCCTGTTGCTAACTAGCTGTGTAACTTTGAACAACATTAAGTCTTTTAGTCTATGAACATGGAGCATCTTTCCATTTATTTGGTTGTCTTTAGTTTCTTCCAACAATGTTTTGTAGCTCTTAAGTGTACAAGTCTTACAGGTCGTTTGTTAAATTTATTCTTTAGGTTTTTTTTTTTTTTTTTTTTACTATTTTCAATGCTATTGTATTATAGACTATTGTAAATGGAGTTTTTAAAATTCAATTTTGGATTGTTTATTGCTGGAGTACAAAAACTGGCAAGAGACAACATTACAACACATTTAGTTATAGATCTAATTGGTTTTTTATCCACAATTCATGAAATAGGGCAGCCTCTGTTCTATAAATGGAGATAAAAGCTCTCACCAGACAGTAGGAGAACAGTTGGTTTCATAAGATGGGGACAAAGAAACAAAACAATAAGAAAAAAAAGTTGATTGGTTAACATCTGTTTACTTCAACTTATTAATGTCTTGTAAGGGTTAAAGTAGAGAGAAATTCCTTATTACTTTGACTCAAATAGACTAGAATCTCCTGTTTCAGGAACACTTGGTCTATTTTGGCGTCTGTATGCTTCCTTCAAGTCTTGGTTTGATGATGTGGTATTCACCATGAATGATTGTTTTGTTTTGGTCTCGTTTGTTGGGGACTTCTTTAGAAGCTTGGTTCAAAACAATGTCCCCTCCATAATTATTGTTAGTAAACTAAAATTAATTGAGTATATTGATCTTGTATCTTGCATTCTTACTGATCTCATCTACCAGTTTTAATAGTTTCTTTTTGGTGTCAATTCCTTAGGGTTTTCTCTGTGTAAGGTAATGTCATCAGTAAATACACATAGTTTCAATTCTTACTTTCCAAAGTAGATGCCTGTTCTATTTTTTTCTTACGTAATTCAGCTTTAGAGGATTTCCAGTACAATGGTGAATAGAAGTGCTGAGACTCAGTAGCCTTGTATTATTCCTGGTCTTAATAGAAAGTCTTTCAGTAGTTCTCTACTAAGTATAATGTTAGCTATAGGTTTTTCATAGATGGTCTTGATCAGGTTGAGGAAGTTCTTTTCCAATCATAGTTTTATAAATGTTTTGATAATGAAAGATGGTTGCATTTTGTCAAATTTGTTTTTCTTTTTCTTTTCTTTCTTTGTTTCTGTTTTGAGGTGCTGGAGATGAAAGCCAGTGCCTCACACATGCTCGGCAAGTGCTCTACCACTGGGCTACATCCCCAGCCCTCAAATGGTTTTTCTTTTTTTATTTCAAATGGTTTTTCTGTGTCAACTGAAATGTTCATGTGTTTTTTTCTGCCTCCCATTAATGTATTGCATTATATTGATTGACTTTATTATACTAAATCACCCTCACATTCTTGGGATATATTCCATTTGATTATGGTGTATAATCTTTTTAATATGTTGCTGAATTTCAATTGCTTTTTGTTTAGCTTATTGTTTGCCCTAAGTATATGTCCTAATCCTAACCCTAACCCTTGATGTTAAACCACTGCTGCTTATTTTTTCCAACAAAGGACTCAGGAAAGGGCCTTGATGCTGAGTCAGATCACCTAAAGACAAGTCCTTTGAATGGGACTTTTCTAGGGAGTTGCCTGACAGTGCACATAATGACAACTCTGGGGATAGGTCTATTTGGGGTAATCTAAACCTACTCTGCGCCCTCCACTGGGTGCCAGGCTGTTGCTTTTCACAGATACTGTGAACCTAAGGCTTTTGGTTTTCTTTTCTTTCTTTCTTTTTTTAAATATTTTTTTAGTTGTTAATGGATTATTTATTTATTTATTTGCGGTGTTGAGGATGGAACCCAGGGCCTCACACATGCCAGGCAAGTGCTCTATCACTAAGCCACAATTCCAGTCCTAGCTTTGGTTTCCAATGTTACTGTGGAACTGGATAAAGGAAGATGGGAATAGGGCACGTTTAAATACCACAAAACTTGTTCATACTGAAATTCAGCTGTTTTTCTTGAATAAAAGCTCTTTGGATTGAACTGCTGTATTGAATCCAGAGGTGCGTTCCCACTGAACCACATCCAGCCCTTTTTATTTTTCATTTTGTGACAGGGCCTTGCTAAGTTGCTGAGGCTGGCTTTGAATTTGAGCCTCAGCCTCCTGAGTCACTGGGATTACCAGCGTGCACCACATGCCTGGCTATTGTAAGCTTTCGGTTAATTTCCAGAGTTGTGAAAAAACTGAATTTGAAATTTTTTCCAATGTTTTATATTGCTATTTTGGAAGAGTGGATGTTCAGAAGTCCTTCTTCCACCAATGTGGAAGTG